TCCCCTGAGACATCCTGGATTGGAAAGGGTGCAGGCTGGGCTGAGGGAACCCCCTCCCCCATGCACGAATTTTGTGCACCGGGCCTCTAACGTAATATATGTAGACTAGAGGCCCGGTGCATGAAATTCGTGCACTGCAGGTGGGGGGGGGGTCCCCTCAACCTGGCCTGTGCCCTCTCGCAGTCCAGGACCCCTCGCTCCTTACTGCTCACCTGCAGTAGAGGCGGGAGAGGGTTCTGTCACCGCCACTGTGCTTTTCAGCTATGAGCCAGCTGAGCGGCACTCCCCCTGTGGGAGTGCACTGACCACCAAGGGGCAGCTCCTGCATTGAGCGTTTGCCCCCTGGTGGTCAGTGTGTGTTATAGCGACAGGTCATTCCACAGTTCGGTTGATATGCATATTAGCCTTTTAATATATACTAGTGGCCCAGTGCATGAAATTTGTGCACATTAAAAGGGAATTAATTAGAGGAAATATTTTAATATTGCTATTTGTCCTTTCTCTATAATAAAAGTGTCAAGAGATGAAAGAAAATTAGCAAAATGTATATGAAAATCTTCCTCCTGTCAGAGTCTGGGGTGCGCCACGGGACCCAGAGTGAAGTGCCAACCCACCCGCGCGTGCCTCGAAATTGCCTCGAAATTGCGTAAGACCCAGACCTAGCCAGCCCCACCCCTGTCAAGTCCTGCCGGGTTGGGGGGCACAACCTCAGGTCCACTGGCCTGGCGCCGGGCGGGGGGCACAGCATCAGGTCCCATATTCCGGTGCCAGGCGTGGGGCTTAGCCTTAGGTCTCCTGTGAAGCCCCGCCGGGTGGGGGGGCGCAGCCTCAGGTTCCCCAGCCCAGGGCAAAGAGCGCGGCCTGAGGTCCCCTGTTCCGGCACTGGGGCAGGGGGTGTGGCCTGAGGTTCCCCAGGCCAGGGCGAGGGGCGCTCCTTGAGGTCTCCTGTCAAGCTCCGCCGGGTGGGGGCTGCGGCCGGAGGTCCCCCAGGCCAGCACTGGGGTTGGGGGCACAGCCTGAAGTCCCCCACCAAGCCCTGCTAGGCTGGGGCGCAGCCTCAGGTCCTCTGGCCCGGCTCCACGCAGCCTCAGTTCCCTGCTGATCGCTCATTATGGGAACCCTGCCTCCACTGTGGGTGGAACCATTTGTGACAGCATGATGGTTAATTTGCATATTACCTCTTTATTATATAGGACTAATAGGATTACATATAAATTTAGATTAAACGAACATTTTGTGATTGTTATTTTAACTTTGTCATGTAGTGAGTGATTACTTTTCCCTTTCCATAATATTTCTATTTCCTATCGTTTATCATTGTTATGTTTGTTTTGTTAGTTTTCTATGTTCTCTCTAGCATAGCACCAAACCCCTCAACACTTACTGAAATCTCCTCTAAAAATATTTAATACACAAGGTGTTCTAATTCTAAATCTTCTGTCACTATACTGGGCATTTCTTTTGCCTGGATCTCTTCTTTCTTACATCCCATGGCTTCCTCATTTGCTGTATCCTTCATATTAGTGGTGAGGCATTGGCTACTTCTTGGGAGAATGATTCAATGGATGTGAACTTTTTTAAACCTTGCATGTCTCAAAGTATTTTTATTCTTACCTAGTTTGAAAAATATTTTCCTACAGCAATTTAGAAGCATTGCTTTATTGTCTTTTGACCTCTGATCCTGATTCCTAAATTTGTGTATGTGAGTGTATGTGATATAATTATTATTTTTGTGTGTGTGATTTGCTGTGTTTGTTTGCTTTTTTCTTCTGAAAGCTTGTAAAGTCAGTATTCTGATGTAACTATTTTCATATATTGTGTTGAGCCTTTTCAACCTGAAAAATTATGTCCTTCATTGGACATAAAAGCTGTGCTACAGTTTTTAATATGCTTTCTGTAAAGTTCAAGCAAGCATGTTTGACCCATAAACTTCAGCATTCGAGCTTGTCACTGAGTGACTCAGGATACCAGCAAAAGGCTTCTTCCCAGATTCTCTCATATCTCTTTAAGGTGGATAAAATGGGTAAGAAGTCCAGTGTTGCATCAGGAAACCTAGAAATGTACTGAAGAAGCAGAAGACTGATTTGATACTGTATGTAATGAATGATCTCCCAGTGGACTACATTTCTTAGAGAAGGTTGAACAGAGATGTGTAAGAGTCACAATCAAGGTATATTAGTTACCCTAAGGTTGCTATAACAAAATGCCACAAATTAGATGGTTTAAAACAACAGAAATTTATTCTCTCATGATTCGGGAGGCTAAAATATGAAGTCAAGGTGTCAGTAAGGCTATATACTTCCTTAGAAGGTCCTAGGAAAAAACCCTTCCTTGCTGCTTCCAACCTCTAGTGTCCCTAGGCCTTCCTCGGCTTGTGGCAGTTTAACTCTAATCTCTGCCTCAGCCTTCTTCATTTTCTGCCTCTCTGTGCCTCTGTAACCAAATGTTAGGGCCCACCCTAATCCATTGTGATCTCTTAAATTAAATCTGCAAAGATCCTGCTTCTAAATAAGGTCACATTCTGAGTTTCTAGTTGAACATAAATTTTAGGGGAAGATTATGCAGCGCAGTACGCAAGGTAATTAGATAGCAGCAGGAAGTCCTGGCAGAGGATTTTCACCAGGTATAATCTGAAGACATTATTCTGGGTGACATTACCTAGATCAGTCTTCTAAACAGTAGATTTCAAACTGCCACCATCTTGCTTTTACTTAGATATTCAAAAGTTTATATTACTTGCAACGGAAAAAACCTTATATTGGGTTATTTAACATTGTAGGATAAATTTAAAATAAAGATGTTTGAAGCTGGTAGCTCTTCTTTCACACACTAGTGAAATTTATTCACTTGCTTTATGGAATGTTTACTGAATGCCAACTATTAACCGTTATTGTTCGACACTGGGTCTAAGCAGGGGTGGAGAATGTCTGGCCCACGGGCCATATAAGGCCTGCAAAATCGTTTGGTCTGGCCCTGCCAAGGCAGTAGGGATGAGTTAATTAAATGTTTGACCAAATATAGCAGGCTAATTTTTAAGCTGATAATTTTGGATGGCCCTCGAAAATGTTATATATATCCAAATGGCCCTTGGCAGAAAAAAAAAGGTTCCCCAAACCTGGTCTACAGCAATGAAGAAGATAAAGTGTCTGCCTTACTGATATGCAAATATCTGCACTGGCATGAAGTATTAGGTGATGTGAAATAAATGAGGAATGATGGAAAGCGTTGTGTTAGTTTAGGCAACACTTTAGCAGAGACCTGAATACAGTGAGATGATCAACCATATATATATATATATTTGGGAGTAGAGTATTCCAGGTAGGGAAGATCTTGCAATGGAAAAGCCTAAGTATCAAGAACAGATAACATGATCTGGTTATATTTTAAAAGCTCACTGTGACTGTTAGAGGGAAAATTGGCTGTAGGGGAACAAAATGCTAAAGAGAGTGACCAGGTATGAAATTATTGCATTTGTCCAAGTGAGAAGACCGTTGGTGAGTTGGTGAAAGGTAGTGAGAGTAGAAATGGTATAAGAAGTGAGTATATTTTGCAGTTGGAAGCATACAATTTGCTGAAGGACTAATTATGAGATGTAAAGGAAGGAAAAATACAGTAGAGGAATCCTTAGAGTTTTAGGCTTGTGTAACCAGAAAAGTTAAAATTACTTACAATAAGATGGGAAAGCCCTAACTGGTTTGGTTCAGTGGATAGAGCGTCAGCCTGCGGTCTCAAGGGTCCCAGGTTCGATTCCAGTCAAGGGCATGTACCTTGGCTACGGGCACATCCTCAGTAGGGCGCGTGCAGGAGGCAGCTGATCGATATTTTTCTCTCATCGATGCTTCTAACTCTCTATCCTTCTCCCTTCCTCTCTGCAAAAAAATCAATAAAATATTTAAAAAGAAATAAGATGGGAAAGTCTGTAGTAAAAGTGGGCTTGAGAAGAAAATCAAAGAATTATACAACTATCAAGGTGGTGGTTGGATATATGAGTCTGTAGCCCAAATTAAAACTGGCTGCCGAAACCGGTTTGGCTCAGTGGATAGAGCGTCGGCCTGCGGACTGAAAGGTCCCAGGTTTGATTCCGGTCAAGGGCATGTACCTGGGTTGCGGGCACATCCCCAGTGGGGAGTGTGCAGGAGGCAGCTGGTCAATGTTTCTCTCTCATCGATGTTTCTAACTCTCTATCTCTCTCCTTTCCTCTCTGTAGAAACTCAATAAAATATATTTTAAAAAAAAAAAACTGGAAGTAGAAATTTGGAAGTTGTTAGCCTACAGATGATATTTAAAGCAGTTAACCCGCATTATGAATTTTCTAAATCCTTAAATACATTAAATATGATGTGTAATCTGTTCCTGTTCAGTCATCATCAAATATTTATAAAGTTTTGGCTGTAAGCCAGGCACTGTAGTGGAAGGTTCTGAGAATGCAATAGTGATATTGGACATTCAAAGTATATAGAGTATTAGATAATTTCTAGGTGTATATTAAATGAAAGTTCAAACATTATATAGTCATAAGTTATATCACCGAGCTTAATACTATATATCATTTGATTCCTTCATATTAATTTAGTCTTAACTTGATCTTTTCAGTTCTTTGAAAGCAGGAGGTATATTATACTTTTAAAAAAATATATTTTTTTTATTGATTTCAGAGAGGAAGGAAGAGGGAGAGAGAGAGAAACATCATTAATGAGAGAGAATCATTGATTGGCTGCTTCCTGCACACCCCTTATGGGGGATAAGCCCATAACCAGGGCATGAGCCCTTGACTACAACCGAACCTTTCGGTCTGCAGGCTGACACTCTACCCACTGAGCCAAACCAGCTAGAGCGATATATTTTTTTATACTTTTTAAAAATCACATGTGATGCCTACCACAATTTTAGAAAGACATTAAGTACCCAAACAATATTTATTCATTGATTACACAATAATTATAATTATCTAAGGACAGTGGCATTTTCATCAGCGTGAATTTTATTGTTTCAATTTGCAGCCTGAATCTACTGCGACTGAAAGAGCAATTGCCAGATTAGCAATGCACCCTCTTCTGAAGAAAAAAATAGATATGCTTAAAGGTATGAATTAAAGCCATGTACTTATTAATGCATTTGTGCATATTATTTTGAAAAATGGCTGTTGATTTATTTGTGTTTTTGGTTCTTTTGCCTTTCATGGACCTTTTCTGTCATAAATATCTCTTTCAAATATTTCCATATGTATGAGTAGAGGCTTGAAAATATGGAAGGTATCTGATACCTAAAGAATTATCTAACTATCAAGAAGGTGGTCTGTAGCCCAAGTTAATTCATATTTTTTTCTAAATTCTAATATTTGAATATATGTAATACACATGATTATATTGAATACAATTGATTTTCTAATTATTGATGTAATTCATATTATTTTTGATGTGTCTACTACTTAGCCATATGATTTTCATTTATGTGCATGTGTATTATAAAATGTATTGAAAGAATTAAATGCTTTTGTCACAGATTGGAAGATATTTTTATGTCTGAAAGCCAGTTCATAATGCTCTACAATTATATCAATGCATTATTCCTATAGAAATTAAAGTTATCATTTTGTTTTATTTATTTGCATTCAGTAAAGTTTTTACTGTTCTTCAAGACTCCAAGGCATAAAATGATGGGTTTTTCTCATTTTATGTTTTAAATGGATACTCCTGAGCTTTCTTACTCGAAGTTTGGTTTTTAAAAAGTCAGTAGCTTTCTTTATAAATTCAGACTGTTTGTTATATATATATATATATATACTCATGCATCACTTAACAACAGGAATAACATTCTGAGAAATGCATCATTAGGCGATTTCATAATTATGCAAACACCATTCAGGGTACTTACACAATTAGATGGTATGGCCTCCTACACACCTAGACTCCATTATAATGTCATGTAACCACTGTCATATATGGCGTCCATTGTTGATGGAAATGTCATTATGTGGAGCGTGATTGTATTCAATATAATGTATAAATTAGCCCAAGTGTTCCTAAATAATATAAGGAATATTAAGCTAAACATTGATATTTTGTGTTGTTTCAGTGTTGAAACAAGTTGTGTGCTATTTTTCTTGCAGCTGCCGTCAAAGCCTTCAAAGATGCAAGACAGAATGATGCTGAAGTTAAGTCATCAAGGAATGCTTCAGAAGAAAATCATTCCAAGGACACTTCATGTTCAGATGATAATGCCATTAAGTTGCAGCATAAAAGTGCTATTATCAGTGAGCAAAAAGACAAGGAAGCCAAAATATTAGCAAAGAAACCAATAAATAGTTCAAAAGAAAAAGTAGTCAAGATGGAACATGGACTCAAAACAGTGGATATTCCAAATTCTCCATCACAGCCTTCTGAAAAGGATCCTGTAGTTCCCTCTGGACTGCAGAAGATGCCTGCTGACCCCAAAATGAAAACATTAAGTCAAAACCAAGAAAAGAAAGCCTTTGATAGTTCACTTGGTGATAACAGTGATGGAGAAGAATCACATGAAGAAGAGAAGGAATATTTTGATGATAGCACAGAGGAAAGGTTTTACAAACAGTCTTCCATGTCTGAGGATAGTGATAGTGGAGATGACTTCTTCATTGGGAAAGTCAGACGGACACGAAAGAAGGAAAGTAATTGTCCTTCTTCAGTTTTGGAACAAAAATCTCCCAAAAAAGTGTTCCCTGAAGAAGATATACTTGAAACCCATGAGAGTATAAGAAATGACAGAAACAAGCCAAGTACAGAAGCAAGGAAGTTTGAATCAGTGTTTTTCCATTCTTTATCTGGATCTAAAAGCTCTAGAAGGTAATTATATTTTTGTATTCTGAAATAATTATTAGTTTTTAATTTTTAAAAATATTACATATTTAAACATCCTAATAGTGAAAGAAGAGACTACCTCCCCTCCATAATTCTAGTTTATTCAAACTACATCTTGTGACTTGGATCTCTCCCACTTTATATTAGGATAATATATACAAAAACACAAATGTCAATGACACATTTATATCCAGCTTCATAAGAAAATGAGATGTTATAGCCAAATAATTTTTCTAGCTAATTTAAGTTTATCCCTTCAATTACCAGAGTTTTAAAACTTTGAATTAGCTTTTGGTAAATAACTTTTGAAAATGTCTCACATAGTTCACTCTTTAAACAAAACTTAATGAATAAAAATGTGGTGGGTTTTTTTGTTGTTTTGTTTCTGTTAACCTATGGCCATTATTGTAACCATCCATCATTTTATTATGTATTTCTATTTCAGTACAGCTGCTTGCACTAACACCGGAGTTTTTCCAGAATGCTTTTTTATGTTTGTTGATGCTGCTGTCTCTGTCTCTGCTATTAAATACCACTTTTCACAGCTGTTCTGTTTTAAATCAGTAAGTTTATTTTCATTTGTAATTTTAATCAGGTAGGGGTATCTTTACACATGGCAAGCTTATTTCTTCATTATTAGCTATTTTCTTCAGTGAACTGTTTTTCTATATATTTAGAGGTCAGGGATCATCTTAATACAATAGAAAACTGATATTGAAAGAAGTTTAAGAGTATGGAAGCTGTAGCCGGTTTGGCTCAGAGGATAGTGTGTCAGCCTGGGAACTAAAGAGTCCCAGGCTCGATTCCAGCCAAAGGCCACATGCCCAGGTTGCCGGTTCGATCCCCCCCACCCCCCAGCAGGTTGTATGCAGGAGGCAGCCAATCAATGATTCTCTCTCATCATTGATGTTTCTATCTCTCTCTTCCTCTCTGAAATCAATCAATCAATAAATAAATATAAAGAGTATAGAAAAGACACACAACCATCTTTGGAGCCTTGAAAATAATTAACATCTCCCAAACCTGCCTCAAAAGTCAACATTTTTTTTCTCACTTGAAAATAACATATCACTATCCTTTTCTTTCCTACTAAATGTAAGTCTTAATTTTTGTTATAATGACTCATTCCCCCTGTGAAAAGATTTTTTGAATTCTTTGTCTAGATAGACCTCAAAAATAGACACAAGGTAACCATAGGATATTAAGTTAGAAGATTTTTTCTTTTTAAATTTTATTTTTCAATTACAGTTTATATTCAACATTATTCATTTCAAGTATACAGCATAGTGGTTAGACAATCATATGCTTTACAGAGTGTTGCCCCCAATATTTCTAGTACCCACTTGACACCATACATAGTATTTCCTCTGCTATACTTTATATGTCTGTGACTGCTTTATAACCACCAATCTGTACTTTTTAATCCCTTCATTTTTTTCATCCAGTCACCCAAACCTATCCCCTCTGGCAATCATCAGTCTGTTCTCTATATCTCTGTGTGTTTGTTCTTTAGATTCACATGTAAGTGAAATCATATGGTATTTATCTTTCTCTGACTGTTAAATCAGAAGATTTACTTATCTTTTAAAAATCCTAATGATGTTTTTCTTCTTTTAGAAATTACAGAGAACAGGCTCCAAAAAGCAACACCCCAGGTATGTTATTAATGGCTGGTTAACCTCCATATGCAATAAAGCAATGCTTTGTCAAAGTGGAAGGATGAAAAATTCTCATTGTTCAATAGCCTCAATGAATTATGTACCCACAGAAATGGAACTAGAGCATCTTATAATTACCATCTTATAATTAATTTAAGTTGTTTTATTTCCCTATGTCCTGCCATTAGGAAAGATATAGACAAAACTTATTAGGAAATATTGGGTGTATTTAATTTATCTTGAACTAAATTAATGCATTCTTTAAGTAAATTATTATATGAGCTATATCTTAGTCAACACTGTGCTGTTAAACATTCAGTAACAAATATGTTACTTTCTGGGTTGAGAGTAAAATCAAAAGTTTTTGGTGTGTTTTTTTCTTTTTTAATCCTCACCTGAGGACATACTTAGAGAGAGGAAAGGAAGGAGGGAGAGAGAGAGAGAGAAAACTTTGATCTGTTGCCTTCTGTATATGTCCTAACTGGGGACCTAACCCACAACCCAGGTATGGGCTCTGACCAGGAATCAAACCAGCAAACTTTTAGTGTACAGCACGACACTCAACCAGCTGAGCCACTCTGGCCAGCTCAAAGTGTTTTTAAATTAATTTATAACAAATCAAGTTTAATATATTTGGGTCGGCTGACTTCTGTGCATATTCCAAACTCTCACTGATTTAAAAACAATAAAAATTTGTTTCTCACTCACATCACAGTCCAGCATGAATCAGCAGAGGGGCATAGTCATTCAAGGATAAAGTTTCATTTGTATTCTTCCTCTTGCAGTTCCCAGATATTCTCCATTTGGCCAACAGAAGGGAATAAAGTACATGGAAAATTTTGCAGAAGGTTATCATGGGCCAGGCCTGAAGAGGCAGAAATCAGTTCTGTTATCATTTCATTAGCCAAAATTCATTTATATGACCCCATATCTAGCCACATGGGAGTTAAGAAATGCAGACTGACTCTGTGGCTAGGAAAAAAAAATAAAGTGGAATTTCTTGAACAGATAATCACATAATCACCATCCTTTTGATCACCAGATGCCCTTTTTTTCCCTCCCACATGTAGAGCACACTGACCTCCTTCCCAACAAAGCCAACCCAAAGGCTCATCCAGCTCAGCCCAGGATTATTCAGTGATGCTGTGGTGCAGCAGCATCCACAGAACAGTCATGGATGTGACTGCTCTGAGTTTAGTGACCTGTACATTAAAAAAACAAACTGGCCCTGGCCACTGGCTCAATTGGTTGAATGTTGTCCAGTGTACCAAGGGTTCACTGGTTTGATTCCCAGTCAAGGCAAATGCCTAGGTTTCAGGCTCTGTCCCCAGTAGGGGGTATGCCGTAGGCAGCCGATTGATCTTGCACTCTCACATTAATGTTTCTTTTTTTCCTCTCTCTTCCTCTCCCTTCCTCCCTCTAAAAATAAATAAAAATATTTTTTATTAAAACATAAAAATTTGGCACTAGCTTAGCAGTTCATTGATAGATGGTAAGAAAATAGATATCTAAGACTGAAAATGAGCATTTGTGTGCTAAAGATAGATAAAACGGTTGGCAATGAAAACTTAGGAAGCAGGCTTCATGTTTTTGGAGTTTGGGGGGTAAGTGATTAGAAATTATAAAAGATAAGTATACTGATGGCTCTTTGGCAATATGCTACAAAAAATAAAGGAGAGACAATAGAAGCTTCCATTGGCTGTAACTCAAGTTACATGGCCTCAGTTAACTGTTGTGTGATGGGAAATACATTATGGTTGTGCACCTAGAAGGAAAAGAAGACCAAGTTTGGCAAACACGAGGCCATCTGCCTCATTTACCTTATTTTTACAAACATAGGATAACTAAACTAAAGCCACACCCATTTTTTCCCTGAGGAGACCCATGTGAAAGAGATTTTTTTTGTTTATTTTTGCTTAACTTTTTAATTCATAATACTTACCAATTTACTCACATGTGCAAATTTACTTTGCATAATTATAAAAAATATTAGTTTAGAAATACTGTCTCATTCAAATCTGTTATCGTGAAACAGTTCCACTTAACATTTAAACTCTTCATTCTTCATCACTAGAGCCACTCTGAGTATTATAAATTTCTGGAGCACATGGTGATTTGTATAAAATATGAATGTGTACATGATATTTTGGAAACTGTATGCAATCCTATCTAATAAAAGAGAAACATGGTAATTAGTGTATGACATCTACCCTTCCCATTGGCTAATCAGGGAAATATGCAAATTAACTGCCAGCCAAGATGGCGGCCAGCAGCCAGGCAGCTTGAAACTAAAATGAGGCTTGCTTGCTTCAGTGACAGAGGACTCCAACGTTCCCCGCCTGCCGCTGCAGGCCTCTGACCTGCAACTCTAAGCAACTATGTAACAAATATAGAAGCTAAACAAAACCCCAGAAACCTGCTTTAGTCCGCCGGGCTTCAGCCAGCAGGATCGCAACATTGTAAACAAAGGCCAGGCAGCGGAGGCCTAAGAGCTGGAGCCAAGCCTCAAAGCTAAAGCTGGCCCAGAATAAAAAAAGAAAAAAGAAAAAAGGGAGCGGTTGGGAGCTTCCGTCACCCACCAGCCTGAAAACAGCCCTCAGCCCCTCACCGAGGCTGGCCAGGCACCCCAGTGGGGACCCCCACCCTGAAGGATGTGTGACCAGCTGCAAACAGCCATCATCCCCTCACCCAGGCTGGCTAGGCACCCTAGTGGGGACCCCCACCCTGATCCAGGACACCCTTCAGGGCAAACCAGCCAGCCCCACCCATGCACCAGGCCTCTATCCTATATAGTAAAAGGGTAATATGCCTCCCAGCACCGGGATCAGCGGAGCCGTGAGGCCTCCAGGCACCGGGATCAGTGTGACGGGGTAGTGCCCAAACCCCCGATCACCCTGCGGCTCTGTGTGTGACGGGGGTGGGGCCACAACCTCCCTATCCGCCCTGCTCTGTTCGTGACAGGGGAAGGTGCCCCAACTCCCTGATCAGCCCTGCTCTGTGCCTGATAGGGGGGAGCTCCCCAACCCCCTGATCGCCCTGCAGCTCTGTGTGTGACAGGGTGCGGCGCCCCAACCCCCTGATCGGCCCTGCTCTGTGTGTGACAGGGTGCGGTGCCCCAAACCTCCCCCCCCACCCCCACGGGCCCTGCTCTGTGTGTGACGGGGTAGAGCCATAACCTCCCCATCGGCCCTGCCCAGAGTGTGAGAGTGGCGGCGCCCCAACCCCCTGATGGGCCCTGCTCTGTGCGTGACAGGGGGCAGCGCCCCAACCCCCTGATTGGCCCTGCTCTGTGCGTGACAGGGGGCAGCGCCCCAACCCCCCTGATAGGCCCTGCTCTGTGAGTGACAGGGGGCAGTGCCCCAACCCCCTGATTGGCCCTGCTCTGTGCATGACGGGGTGGTGCCGCAACCTCCCCATCGACCCTGCCTTGAGTGTGACAGGGAACGGTGCCTCAACCCCCCAATCGGCCCTACCCTGAGCGTGACTGAGGGTGGCATCACAACCTCCCGATCCGCCCTGCTCTGTGCATGACAGGGGGTGGCGCCCCAACTCCCCAATTGGCCCTGCTCTGAGCCCGACCAGGGGCTGCACCCAGGGATTGGGCCTGCCCTCTGCCACCGGGAGCAGGCCTAAGCCAGCAGGTCGTTATCTCCCGAGGGGTCCCAGACTGCGAGAGGGCACAGGCCGGGCTGAGGAACCCTCCTCCCCCCGAGTGCACAAATTTTTGTGCACCGGGCCTCTAGTTATTTATAAAACACCAGAGACCCAGTGCATGGATTTGTGCACCGGTGGGGTCCCTTGGCCTGGCCTGTGGGGATCAGGCCGAAACCCGCTCTCTGACATTCCCCGAGGGGTCTTGGATTGCGAGAAGGCACAGGCCAGGCCGAGGGACCCCACCAGTGCACAATCGGGGCTGGGGAGGGACTGCAGGAGGGCTCCAGGGCATGTCCAGCCCATCTCGCCCAGTCTGGTTCAGCCAGACCCCAGCAGCAAGCTAAACTACCGGTCAGAGTGTCTGCCCCCTGGTGGTCAGTGTGCATCATAGTTAATAGTCGAATGGCGGCTTAGGCTTTTATATATGTAGATTATCCCATTTGCTTTTAAAGGAGATCTTTGATAGGCTTTTGATAGTGATGTCTAAATTGAAGTGGAGAAATTATGCATCCTTTGTTAAACTTAATACATCTATATTAAACTTTTTGCCTCCCTGTTTCTTAATTCCCCCCCCCCCCCGCCCCCATTTCTTTGATTCTATAAACATGCATTGATTCAGGTCTTTTCAAGCTAGTATATCTCTCCCAAACAGTAGTTTGTTCAAGGTAATGTAATTGAAGTGCCTCATAATATAAGATGCCATAAGGATTAGAACAGGGGTCCTCAAACTACGGCCCGCGGGCCACATGCAAATACAAATACTGTATTTGTTCCCATTTTGTTTTTTTTACTTCAAAATAAAATATGTGCAGTGTACATAAGAATTTGTTCATAGTTTTTTTTTAAACTATGGTCCGGCCCTCCAACAGTGGGCCAGTGAACTGGCCCCGTTTAAAAAGTTTGAGGACCCCTGGGCTAGAATATAAGTTGTCAATCTCATATCTTTTGTAGCTTCATGATTAAAACAAAACTTTGTCTTGTATTGGAGTAGATTTAGTAATTTACCTTGTAGTAATAACTTTGTTCAGTAACAGAAGGGAGTGAAATCAATAAATAGCCTTTTAAAAATAAATCTCTCCTATCAACATTGTCAGATGCAGTATCATAGTAAAGACGTGTGCTTTCTGGCTACATCTGATTCACACACAGATTTCATAAGCAAATGATATTTCTTAAGATATCACAGCATATATTAAGAGGCAAGCAATATACATCCACTTGCAAGGATAGGAAGCATGTGTCCCAACATTTACTGCTAATGTATATTTCAACTTCAAACTGTGCTCTATTGGACTTAGGTTTAAAATGAGGTATTCCATTTCAGTAAAACTAAATTTCTTCTTCAGTACTGATTTGAAAAGATAAAATATATATTTTGTGCATGTTTTTTGGGTATATACTTAGTTTCATTATTTTTGCTTCCTTCTCCCAGGTTTTCAGCAAAATGACCCTCAACTCAAAAATCAGTTTATTAAGAATGCACCAAGACGACCAGAAAATACAAAACAGCAGACACAGCTGCCTCTTCATCCTTCATGGGAAGCAAGCAGGAGGCGAAAAGAGCAGCAATCTAAAATTGCTGTGTTTCAGGGGAAAAAAATTACGTTTGATGATTAATTAGTACCTCTTTTTGTGAACTTTTCCATCTAAAAAATTGTTTTCCTTCTTTTTGTTTTTTACCAGCCCATTATTTAAACTCTCATTTGGATAAGTCTTTTTGGAGGAGGTATAGAAATCAGTTTGTTGTCTTTATTTCTCTTTTTTAAGTATGTTCAAGTTATATTTACATAAATCTTGCACAAATCTACTACATTAGTTGGTTTTTAAAAATATGCCCAGAACGTTCCCTTTATAAAAGAATTTTGAGATTATTAGTCAGATTTCCTCAGTTGTGCTTATCATGAAGTATATTTCACTGGATTAGGTCTGTGTTTCTTTGCCTTGAGAATAAAAGTTGAGATATATTTAAAATAATAATTGAAAACTATGAGGAAATTACAGCTATTTAAAGTAGATAACCTCTGCTAAAAGTTATTCTTGTTAGTAAAACTAAGATTAAGATAGTAATGTTTGGCCCTGGCTGGGTAGCTCAGTTGGTTAGAGCATCTTCCCAGTACAACCAAGGTTGTGGTTTCAGTCCTTGGTCAGGGCACATGCAAGAATCAACCAATGAATACATGAATAGATGGAACAATAAATTGATGTTTCTTTCTCTAATATCAATAAAAAAAAGACAGAGTAATGTTCATTTGGGGTGCACAGGTAATAAATTATACAAAAAATATTAATATTGTTATACAAAAAATATTAATATTATAGCTTTAATTAGTAATGATCTTGTACTTTTTGATTGTTTTAGTTTCCCAGGATAATTTTAGATTTCTGAATATTTCAATTATTTAAGTAACATATTGTTTAAATGTAGCAACACAACAAAAAATTAGTTTTCTATTTCATTGCATATAAATATTTCTGTTAAATTCAAAATGTTTGACACCTAATTACGTGGCCATGTGCTCTTATAGAAACATTTTTGAGGAATCATAGATTGAAGGAGTTATGATTAAAAGAGCATTTCTACAGTAGCTGAACAGAAAGATTATAAGATGACTCACTGAGGAGGGGGCTACTCTGTACATCATAGTATTTCTATTAAAAGAAAAATTAAGATTTTAAAAATCCTTTCAAGCCCAACTGGCATTGCTCAGTGGTTGAGCATCAACCTATGAACCAGGAGGACATGGTTCAATTCCTGGACAAGGCACATCCAGTAGGGGCCGTGCAGGAAGCAGCCCATCAATGATTCTCATTATTGATATTTCTATCTCTCCCCTCTCCCTTCCTCTCTGAAAGCAATAAAAATGTTTATGTGTGTGTGTGCATGCGCACACATATATATACATAAATAATAAAATCTCTTCAAAAGTTAATGTCAGGGAAAGCCTTCTGATTAGCAGGAATTCACAAGCTCTGGAGAGTCATTTCTACATTTTCCATGAGCTTAAAAATTTAGATAACTTGAGCAATGGAATTCAAGATACTGTGTGGAAAGAAAATTATTTCTGTGTTGAATGCAAAATTTGTTTTTTTTTCTTTCAAATTTTATTTTGACATAATTTCAGTTATGTTAGATTGAAATTAATTTCAATTATGAAAATTTATTACAGTAAAAAGTGAAAGAAAAATGTCTCTATGCCTACCCAGATTTAGCCAAGCTACGAAGTTGAGAATACTGTTTTCCAGACTGCCAAGTCTGCTTAAGACTTTACCCCAAGCCCTAACCGGATTGGCTCAGTGGATAGAGCATCAGCCTGCAGACTCAGGGTCCCAGGTTCGATTCCGGTTAAGGGCATGTACCTTGGTTGTGGCCACATACCCAGTAGGGAGTGTGCAGGAGGCAGCTGATCGATGTTTCTCTCTCATCAATGTTTCTAACTCTTTATCCCTCTCTCTTCTCTGTGAAAAATCAATAAAATATATTTTAAAAAGAAAAAGACTTTACCCCAATTGCAAGGAATTAGGGGCCAACTACAAAGTTAGAGAGAAGAGCCCACACAAGACCACTCTTACTTCTGACACCAATTGCAGGTTCAGAGGTGGTGTGTGGGGAGGGGAATGGGTGGAGGGTTCCCCATACACTGAGGTTCAATAATTCGCTAGAAAAACTTCTAGAGCTCACTGAAACCTATTCACAAAGTTTATCACAGGGAAAGCACACAAGTTATAAACAGCCATAGGAAGAGAAGCATAGAGCAATATCTATGAGGGTTCTAAATGCAAAGCTTCTCTTGTCCTCAGGACATATTAACATTGTGCCATGAAATGCAGATTGCCAATCTGAGGAGCTTTCTCAAGGTTTTGTATCCAGGATTTTTACTGTGCCTTCAATATTTAGGGATGATTGATTGATTGCTTACGTAATTGTTCCAAAGGGACTGATACTACATGACCCAAGCCCCTGTGGTAAATCACATGGTTTGTCTTTTTTTAGTGTAGCCAGCTCCTACCCTAATCAAAGATAGTCCAATCAGGTATGACATAGATTACCTTCAAGAAGGTGAAGGCAAAAACAATTATTTTCTTCAGCAAGGCCGAGGTTTTTACCACACCCTATCCTGCACCCAAATTCCGTAAACTTTTATTGCATTAACATTTTACTGCATTTTCTTTACATGTACTTTTCATCTTTCACCTCCCTCTCCTTTTCCTCCTCCTCCTCCTCCTATTTATCCCCCTCTCTTTCTGTCCTCCACTCTTTCTCCCTCTCCAACTGCTTTCTTGTTCTCATCCTTTTCCCATTTCATTTTTCTTGTTTCCTTCTCTCCCCTCCACCCTTTATATTCTCTCTTTATAAACAAAGTAATTCTCTATTCTCTTGTATTACCACAGTCCGATTATCAAATGCTCAGATTTTTCCAGTTGTCCCCATGTCTTTTTACAACAGAAAAGCCAACATCATACCTTACATTCAGTTGCCATATCTCTTTAGTTGATAATAGTTTGAGTCTGTTTTAGTATTTTATGACATTGACATTTTTCAGAAGTACTGAGCATTGTCTCTTTATTTGGGTTTGTCTGATGTCCCCATTATTAAATTCAAGTTAGGCACTTTGGGCAGGAATATCACAGGAGGGATGTTGTATTTATCCCAGTGCGTATTAAGAGGCAGGTGGTGATGTTGATGTGACCTATTACTGGTGATGTTAATTTTCTTGTTTCAGGTAGTGTCTATGAGATTTCCCCACTGGAAAGTTAGTATTTTCCTCTTTGTAATGAATAATTATTTTTAGGGAGGTACTTTTAGACTATAGACTATTCTAAAACTTTCACTGACTAGTTCTACCATTCAGCCGTAATTCTTATCTGAAACAATTACTGCTAGAGTAAAAAAAAAGAAGGTTTCTTGTTTCTACAAATACTAGCTGGCTTTTTATATTAAGGAAGAACTATTCAGTTTTTAAATTTCATTGTGATCTCATGGATAGCTCTGTTTTTATGGGTTATTTTTTATTTTGTTGTGTCTAATATTGGCTTATAAGATTTACAATATACATCTTTATCACAGTCTGATCTACAGTACACTTTTTTTTAATATTGATTTCAGAGAGAGGAAGGGAGAGGGAGAGATAGAAACATCAATGATGGGAGAGAATCATTGATTGGCTGCCTCCTGCACACCCCCTGCTGGGGATCGAGCCTAAAACTCCAGGAATATGCCCTGGTCAGGAATCAAACCATGACCTCCTGGTTCATAGGTTGACATTCAACCAATGAGCCATACTGGCAGGGCAGTACACTTTAATTTTCTTCCTCCCAGCCTTTGTTTTGTTATTTACATAGATTTTGCTTCTGCTTGTAACCCTATTATACATTGTTATTGTTTTTGCTGATAATAGGCCGGGAATGCTGCTAAACATTCTATAGTATATACAACAAAAAATTATCAAGGTCAGAATGTCAACAATGCTAAGGTTGGGAAACCTTAGTGTAGGGCTCATTTGGCCCCATTACTGAATCACTATCTTATGCTTTGTCTGTAAGGAAATCTTTCTGTTGTGTCTGGTGAGAACACAAACTATTCCTGGGACTGTAAGTTCTTGGTATTGTTCCTCTACTTTCTAGCGATTTTTCCCCCTGGCGTTGGTAGATTCTTCATATGCATTGTATAGATCAGTCTTATATGATCAACTTGAAGGAACCCTTCTGTGCATCTTCCTCTTCTGTATTTTTCCTCCCACAATCTAGTCAAATTAGCTTATCTAAACTCTGAACTACCAGGTAGTGAGCTGAAGCACTCAACTTATTTGGTTTTTTATCCTGTACAGCTTTTTTTGTCCATTATCCCAAAGCCTTTGTTTTATAAATTTTATTAAGTTTTCTAGTTGCTTAATGTAGAAGGGCAAATCTGGTTTCAGTTATTACGTAACAGTCAGAAATAAAAATCCCTTATTTATTTTGATACTCAAATTGTCCTTAATTTGACCACTGGGAGCCTTTCACAATATATTTACTTATTTTCTCAACAGGAGAATACACAGAAGTTAGTTTCAGAATTGCTAATGATGCCTCTGTAAAACACAGGTCCATTAACCAAACTTCAGTATATGTTCAGAATGCTTTTTTCTTTAGCCTGAGGGCATATGGTCTCAAAACTAAGTTTGGAAGTTATCTGGGATGATGCCAGCAAAAATGGTGGAGTAAGGGCATCCAACTGTCAGAAGCAATGAGAAAACTGTCCATATCGTCAGACTCAACTTTTTCAGAGCTATGGAATTAACCAAAGGCTTACAGCAATCCAGGGAGTATTTTTCAAGAAAAATGGCTTAATGTTCATAAGAATAGTGACCTTTGTGACATTTTAACTTGCCCTATTCTCATCCCCCACTTCTCATATAACCTGGTAGTCTTGAAAACCAGCAGCTGACAGCCACTGGGGGTCAGCTTCATAGATATATTATCAGAATTGTTATTATTTGACTACTTTGGTAGTTCACTGGAAGGCTCCTCTTGCAAATTTGTCTTGTGTCAAAGAGCTTGCCCAGTGCATAAAGCCATTTCCTGAGATCACTTAGAAAACAAAGAGAGGCAATTGTTCAACATCATAGCTGCCTGAGACAGTGAATAACTCTTGGGGCAAACAAAAATTTCATCAAAAAGCTTAAAAAGAAATATGAAGAATTTAATATCCTTGGGAAATCTGATAAGTTCTGACATATTTCTTGGAATTAAGGAAGTCACATGCTTAACACTGTGCATGTTCAGGAGAAAGCTGAAGATGCCCTAAACCAGGGGTGGGCAACCTTTTTGTGAGCGCTTGCCAAAACCAGCAAAATCTCTGATTCAAAATTCTTCTTCGTGCCAACCCTAATTTTTTGAGAATATGTTACGCCTACTTGATATCTCTTAAGCTGTACGTATGTGAAGAACCTTGAAGAAATAATAAAATTCATTCGAGCAACAAAAACACAGTATATGATGATGAAAAATATATTTTTTAATGTATACATGTACACTGATAGTCCAACAGAAAACTTTATGACTCCATTTGATATTATCAGTGGGACTTTTGCTGCTGCATCACTGATGACAGAGATTTTACATCAGGCTTATATTTCGTGACCTTCAGAGATATGCACGAGCTACTACTTTCATCCATCAGGCTGCTCCTATTACGAGACTTAACAAAATTCATCACTGAGAACAAATATTCACAAGCGTATGTGGATGAAACCAAAACATTGGTTGGATCTAGGAAGGCAGGGAGAGTTAAGGCAGAGGCATAGAAATTGCTCTTCCCCTCTCTCGTCAATCCATGTCTATGGTCTTTAAGATAGCTTGTTATGTAAAATTATTTATCTAAGATGCACCTACACTGAATTTATCTGAAAAATAAAAAAGTTGATATTAAGAAGAAAATTGTAAATGGAAGATTATAAGAGAGGGTTTTGGGTGCCAGCAAAAGTTACTGGCGTGCCATGTTTGTCACGCGTTCCAGGGGTTGCCCACCCCTGCCCTAAACTCTCATCTCTGGTTGGCTTACACAATACATATTTTTGACTGCTAGAGAAAGGACTTATATGTCAAAAGGACACAGTAGATAGCTTGCACACGCAGGAAATGAAAGCTCAGGTGGAATTGTCAACTTCTTGGCCAAGTGTTGAAGGTGTGTCCCAGCACACAGAGCCCTGTCAACAAAATCAGGGAAGTATTGATTCCAAGAATTTAAGGAAATTTCTGTCCAGTTATTAGTATACTACTAAGTTAATGAAGTAGAGGCATCAGTGGCATACATAACAAAGAATACAGACATCACAAAAATAGTTTTAAAAGTCACTAAACAACAAAAACCAGTAACAACGATGTGGGGAAAGGGACTGTAATTTCTGGAGTTGCAATATTATATTTAAAATGTTCAGTTTTCAAGAAAACAAGATACACAGAAGCAAAGTCTGGCTCATATACAGAGGGAAAAAAGGCAATCAATAGAAACTTCTTGAGGAGACCCATACTCTGTATTTATTCAACAATGACATTAAATAAGCTATTTTAAATATGTTCTGAGAACCAAAGGAAACCATGTCTAAAGAGCTAAAGAAAGTCTGAGAACAGTGTCTCACCAACTGAAGACTATCAATGATGAGATAGAAATGATAATGAGACAAAAAGAAGCAGCAGCTGAAAAACACAGTAAGTGAAGCAAAAATTAGCAGAAGGGCTCCACAGCAGACTTGTGCAGGCAAAAGAACGATAAGGTGAACCTACATTTATGTCAACTAAGATGATCCAGTCTGAGGAACAGAAAAAAACCCTAAAATGAACAGATTCACAAAGACTTGTGGGATACCACCAAGTGTGCCAACATAGGCATAATGAGAGTCTCATATGATGCCACATTTCCACGCATAGCTGTATACCTTAAGAGAATTGTTCAAGGGTCAACTGTACATAAATGGAGTTATTCAGCCATATAAAGGATAGAAGTATTGATATATACATTGGCAATGGATGAAGTTTGGAAACATGTTCAAACAAAAACTTGAACATGAATATTCATGGTAACATTATTCGTAATAGCTAAAAGAGGAAACAAGTATCCAACATATGATTGAATAAACGAAAGTAAATATAGTTGCTTCTTGAACAGCACCGGTTTGAATTGCATGGATCCACTCAATATGCAGATCTTTTTAATGAATACCTGTATTTTTTATTTGTAGTTGGGAGTCTGTGGATGTGGAGGGCCGACTGCATTGATCTATGTATGCCATTTTATATAGAGGACCTGTGAATTTTGGTATCCATGGAGAAGAAGGGATTCTGGAACTGATTTTTTTTTTTTTTTTGGATTGATGAATGTGTGCTGGAATTGGATGGTGGTGGTGGCTCAGTTTTCTCAGTATACAAAACCCCACTGAATTGTGCACTTTAAAATGTGAATATTATGGTATGTGAATTGTATCTCAATTTAAAAAAAAAATAATAAAGTTATCTGGGTTTGTGCTTTCTCCCTCCTTTTTTCTATGTAGTACTTCATTTGAAATGTAATTTTGGTCATATGTTTCTGATGGTATATAATTTTAAGTATTCGTCCTTCTTTCTTGCTAATTTGACTCATTTTTTTCTTTATGTATGTAAAACATTAACATTTTCTACAAGTCAAAGCCACACAATGCACTCTTCTCAGAGAATTGGCAACTCCCTACTTTCCACCTCATCCCCATACATTCCCTTTAGATAATCAATCTCATTAGTCCCCGGTGTATCTTTGCTGTGTTCACTTGCACAAATGAACACATGTATGCACATTTTGTTATTTCCTCTTTTTTATACAAAATTTAGCATTCCCTAGATGCTTTTATGAACTTTGCTATTTTTCATTAAAAATATATCCTGGAAATCACTGAAAATCTGTTCATTAAAATCTTCATTTAAAACAAAACAAACTTTATCGTATTTCATTTGGGTAATCTATCAGTTTATTCAACCATACATCAATGTATGGGTATATAGATTATTTTTCATATTTTACATTCATAATGTTGCAAAGAAAATATGAAAAACAGATGCATTTTCATATTGTGGGTATGTTCCTAGAGCTAAGAATGTTATGTTGGAAGGTAAATGCATTTTTAAAATTGCCAAATTTTTCTCCATGAAGGTTGTACCAATTTGTATTTCTACCAGAAGTGGATGAGAGAGGCTTGTTTCCTCACAACCTCTCCAACAGAGTTTGGTGTTTTTACATTTTTATTTTCACCAGTTGGATGAGTGAAATATAGTTTTACTATGTACTTTTCTTACTATGGGTACAGTTGAATACTTTTTAAGTTTGAGTCAATTTTTGTGAATTTATTGTCTTGCCCTTTTTTTCGTTGGTGAGGAGTTACTTCGTTTTGTTTTGTTTTGGGTTTTTGTTAATCCTCACCCAAGGATATTTTTTCCATTGCTTTTCAGCGAGAGAGTGGAAGGGACAGAGAAGGAAAGGGAGAAACAGAGAAACCTTGATTTGAGAGAGACACATCGATTGATTGCCTACAACACACACTCTGACCAGGGGCGGGGAGCAAACCCATAACCCAGGTACATGCTCTTGACGAATCAAACCCACTAGTCTTCAGTGTGCAGGCTGATGCTCTAACAACTGAGCTGCACCGGCCAGGGCAAGTGAGTTATTTTTTGTTTTTGTGTTTTCCCCCTGATTTTTAAGATTTATTTTTATATTAAAATAAATACTAACCCTTTATCAGTTATATATATATATTACAAATATTTTTTCCAAATTTTTCAGTTGTCTTAGATTTCCTTTTTATCATGCTTGTCTGTCACTTACTAATATGTAGTTAGATACATCATTTCTCTTTTCATTTTCTTCTGTTTCATTTTTGCATATGGATTTGGAATCATAGTTAGAAAATCTTCCTCTACCATTGTTTGACTTTTACTTTATCTGATATCAGTGTTGCTGCTCCTGCTTTCTTAGTGTTGCCATTTCCCTGGAATACCTTTGACTATCCTTTTATTTTTAGCCTTTCTGTTTTATGCATGTCTCTTGAAGAGAGCATACTATATAGTTGGGTCTTTATGAAAGTTGAAAGTCTTTCCTTTTGATAAACACATTAAACCCTTCCAAAATTGTTGATAACATGAATATGCTTGCTTTCAATTATCAGACTTATGCTGTAATAATTAATTGTTTCTCTTTATAATGTGCTTGCTATGCTTTATATTTTAAAAAATCCCTAAATTTGGTATTTAGGGAGGTTAACATTTTTGTTTTAGTAGTTATCTGTGCTTACAACTTGTTTAGTGCCCTTAGTTTTTTATTTCTTTTATCTATAATTTGTATTGTCAATTTTTAATAACATTTCTTAAATTTTACTTATCTAAATCACAGTTAATGAGTTTATTCTACTTTCCTTGTTTCATCTCCATTCTCCTATTTTTAGATGCATTGTTTTTATTTTGTTGGAACATACAACACAAGGCATAGAGCACTGTTACATAACATTACAAGCCCAGTGCACAAATTCGTGTACCAGTGGGGTCCCTAGGCCTGGTCTGCAGGACCAGGCGGAAACTGGCTCTTGGGCATCCCCTAGGGGTCCTGGATTGCGAGAGGGCGCAGGCCAGGGGAGAGACCCCACTGGTGCACCATCAGAGCCAGGAGGGACACGGGAGGTGGCCAGCCAGGGAGGGACCACGGGAGGGCTCCAGTCCCCATCAGCTGAAGCCCAGCAGTAAGCTAACCTACCAGTCGGAGCGTCTTCCCCCTGGTGGTCAGTGCACATCATAGGGAGCCGTTGAGCGTCCTTAGCATATCACTAGCATATTACACTTTGGTTGAATAGACAATCAGATAACTGGACACTTAGCATATTAGGCTTTTATTATATAGGATTGTTCTCCTTAGTTTTCTTATTTTTGCAATTAAGTTATATTAAAACTAAATTGCTAAAGTTTTCCCACTCTTTTTTATTTGGATGAAGTTCAGTTTCTAGTAAATTCCTCTGAAAAGAACCATGGGAATTCTTTGAGCCCTTGATCTTTAAAATACTTTTCATGGTTTTTATACTTAGATTGTCAGTAGATTTTAGGATTATGGCTTTCTCAACGTTCCTACCCCTCTTCTTTGTGGCAGCTAAACTCTTCGCTGTATGTTTGGTGAATCTTGCTTGGACTGTTTCTTGCCCCTCCCCAAGTCTGGCTGCAGGATGGCCTCCTGACTCTTCCCATGGGCAGAGTGTATTTCCTTTTACCCATGCTACAGTGAGTCTTTACTTGTGTTCTGATTGACAGTATCTGATGATCTTACAGTAGCTTAAGGCTTTTTCCTCAGCAGGGAAGAAGGATTCTGGTGGGTATTTCCTCCCTGCTGAACAGCAGCCTTTTCTTTCACCATCAAGGACAGTTTAATCTTTGCTCTGCCCCCATCTTCTAAGTGCTCTCTGTAGTAGGTCATGCCCTGAAGAGTTCTTGACATCCCTAAATAATTCTGTAGTTCCACTAGTACTTTTTATAGGTTTATGTTCACCTTTCTTAACCATCTAGAATATACCCCTGTGTATCCTGGCAGAGATTGGCAAACTGCATAATCAAGTCAATTAGTACACAAGTAATCAACATCTCTCCACCTCTCTTAAAGTTAGGTTGGGGTCCTGTGACTTAAGAATTGCTTGACTGGAATATGGGTGAAAACTTTATAAAACATTTCCAGGTCTGGCCCATAAAATCCTCTTCTATCCTCCAATCTTCTTTTATCCCTCAGATGGATGTGCGTTCCTAGGAAGACATTAGCAGACCCTATTTTTAAAATGAAAAAACAGCCATCAGTCTGGGAACCTAAGTGACTGAGAATCATGATCATCAACCCTTTCCTCCACTTAAGCCAATTGGATTTGTTATTTTAAAAAACAAAAAAAAACCCTCTGTGCCCTGACCAATTTGGCTCAGTGGATAGAGTGTCGGCCTGCAGACTGAAAGGTCCCAGGTTCGATTCCTGTCAAGTGCATGTACCTTGGTTGCGGGCACATCCCCAGTGAGGGGTGTGCAGGAGGCAGCTGATCAATGTTTCTCTCTCATCGATGTTTCTAACTCTCTATCCCTCTCCCTCCCTCTCTGTAAAAAATCAATAAAAATATATATTTAAAAAAACAAAAGAAAAACACTCTGTTAAATCAGAAAATAGGGGATTTTTTTAAAAAATAGGACAGGTATCATTACTCTGACGCAGAAGTTGTTGCTACAAGAATTCCATTACTAAAAAAATTCAAAACACATGGCATTAGTCCAACAGATAGTCAAGATAAAAGCTAATATCCAGAGTGAGAAAACAAGTTTGTGTCATGCAGTGATAAAATGATTGTTCAATGGTCATTTGCAATTAGAATGTGGATCACATGTCTAGGGAACACTTTGCTCTAGGGAATGAGGTTAGAAAATGGAATGTTGGTAATGAATGTTGATATTACCTACATTTATCAAGGTGATAGAAAAGAAAGATATGGGATGTGGCAATAATTTGTTACTTTGACAGCATGAAAAAACAAAATGTAAAATGATAGAAAAGCATCTAGTCCCAGATGATAGGAGATATACACAAAGGTCCATGAAGACTTCTGGCTCCACCATTACACACCTGAGTAAAGGTGTGGTATTTTCTCCTAAACATGATGGCATGGGGCAAAGGAAGAGAAAAATAAGACAGACTTGAGATTTACATTTAAGAAAGAACTTTGGGAAATGCTACTAGCATATGTCACTGAATAGAGAGAACTTTCCCTCAAAAAACAATAATCTGCCTATTTGTAATGGCAATGAAATTCCAAGCCTGTGCTTCAGCAGCCTAAAGATGCTCTGTCATTAAAGGTATTTGGGGGCTCCCAAACTTGCTCAGGGAAGTTTACGAAAACTGTAAAGTTTACAAAAACTGTAAAGGACCCCAATGAAGGCACAGTCCCCCTCATTTATTTTGAATGTGACAATGGACAAAAGAGAACCTGCATAAGGGTAAATCCAGGGCTGGGAAGAACATTTAAATAAGTAGTTTCTTCCACCTAGCAAAGTTCAAATTAAGGAGATGTCCCCACTGCTATCTCATAGGGACCTCAAAATGCCTGCCAGATCGACCAGTGCCTCTGTGTGTCTCCTGTACTTCTTCAACATAGTAGGTTGGGCCAGGTGGCAGTAGAGAGATTTCTATAACTTGTGTGTTTAGTGCAAGTGTCACTGAACCTTAATGGGCCATATTCAGAACTGACAGAAAAAAAAACCGTGCATCATTCAGAGCTCTTGGACTTGGAGTTGGTTGCAATAACTAGGTAGAATTTTAGATTGTCTCACTTGGGGAAAGAGGAAATGTGCTCTAGATTTGGTAGGATACTTAGTAACCAGAAGGGCATACTGCATTGAAAACTTTTATATATATATATATATATATATATATATATATATATTTTTTTTTTTTTTTTTTTTTTTTTTTCACTGAATCTTACTTTTCTTTTCCTTAGGTAACTGGCTAAATTACATTCCCCAGCCTCCTTAAAAGTAGGCAAATGCTAGCCAATGGAATATGGGTAAAGATGGTTACATGATTTTCACCTGTCCCACAAAACTTTCCTAGCATTCTCCCATATTTCTTTCCTTGTTTTCCAGCTAAATGTTGACATCTTGGGCAACCTTGCAAGAGAGATTTTGAAGATGGTGACATTTCTATAAACCATGGTTACAAACCAAGATGGCGGCATAGGTTAACGCCGGAGATCGCTGCCTCAAACAACCACTTCAGAGATATAACTAAAGGACAGAACGGACATCACCCAGAACCACGGGAAGGCTGGCTGAGTGGAAATTCTACAACTAGGAGGAAAGAGAATATCATACCCAGACTCAGAGGAGGCGCAGTGCTGAAGTGAAATACTCAGGTGCGGAGTGCGCGCGCGGAGCGGGCTGGCGGCGGA